GAAGAGCGGGTCTTAGTTTGCCTCCACCTATCTTGAGATGCTTTATAGATTGGAGCTCAGAGAATGAAAGAGTCAGTAAGGCCAAATGCGTGTACACAAGCCAAGTCTCTTACTAACGTATTCATGCCTCCTTGGAAAAATGCATACCAGGGCTCTGAAGTTACAAGTCACTTCTGAAAATGTTTGCCACCTAAGCAGCACAAACGTGCTTACCAGAGGCTTCACGCAGTCGGGGTTGGCTCTGGGTGCGGCAGCACACCTTTTGGCGAGGTCTGTGACATCTTCAGCCATTTTAACCGCTTTGTCAAACGTCCCTTCTTGCACATACTGAGCAAACATGATCATGGCACTACGAGAAGAACACACAGCATTAAACCTGTTGCTGGCTACCTGAAAACTAATTGTTTGACTTTTACGTGTGAGACAGTAAGAGGATCCGTGTGTCCCCGGGCTGAGTTGCGCGGGCTGGCAGGACGGGTGAGGGTTCGGCTCACCGTGCATGCTCATTTCCAAATGACACAGTGGCAGCAAATTTGCAAGTAGACGCTTTACCTGGGCAACTTACATGGCTTTAAAATTATTCTCCTGCAGCTGAGAAAAACGTCGGCCAATGCTGGTTTTTTCCTCTGCAAAACAAGATAATTCGAATGAAAAATGTTTACTAAATGCTTCATCAAATGCTTTTTATTTTTGGTACTGGATCCCTGGAGGAAGGCTGGGGTAATGGCACTGGGAGCTGGAAGGCATAAGATCGAACTCTCTATTTGACTTAAGCACGAGGATGCGAAAAGATGTTTCTGACCTACAATGTAATAGGGCCAATGTAATTTCCCTGCCGGGCTCAAGTGTTGGGGGGAGGAACACACTAAAACCCGGAGGGCGTTCAGCTACTTTGGTGATGCACTTCACATAATTAAATAAGCACCTTACAGAGCACCTTGTAACCTTGCCTTAGCTATTTAAAGATGTGCTTCACCACTCTTTAGCTACGGATGAAGGATTTTCTCTGCAGAAAAGAGGGGATAAGTTGAGGATTACATAGGTAGGCAAAGCTTCTAAAGAATTCACCGAGATGCATCCTTCTGTCCGTGTTGTGAACTGGCCCAGAGGAAGATAAATCTGTCCAATCTATGTGAAGATTCTGTGCAAATATTTTTCCTTTGCCACTGGGCCTTTGTTAATGGGCAAACCTAAATGCAGTAATTTCTTGAGTTCCTTCTTTGTCAGAGAATATTCTGAGAGATTAATTTTAAAATAAGAGGCCTGCTCCCAAATCAACATGCTACTGTCTCACCCTCGTGTCGGTAGGGTTGAGGATCAAACAAATCAAAGAAATAAGCCAACTTCTCCCTCAAAGTAACGAGGGTGTCACTTGAGATGATAACATGAGATAAATGACACAAACATAGGTTCTGTTTTACACTGTTGGGCCATTTAGCGCGTTTGGAAGTTTTAAAGTTGAAAAAAAAGTTGACTAATGATAACAGGACGTGATGTGAAAAGCATCTGAGCGGCACGCTATTGGAGGGTTTCAGCTGTCCCATTTTAGGCACTTAACCTTAGCGAGAAGTGCGGTCATCGCAGGCTCCTTCGCAAGTTGGTGAAGAGAGAGTGAGACCCCTCCAAAGGCTAATACAGAGCAACAGCATAACGTAGCTCCTCTGAATGGCAACCTGGAGGTAGCATCCCTCTTGGGACTCCTCTCTCTCGCTGCCTCGTGAACTACGGAGAGGGGCTGGAGCAACTGCAGGCTTAACTTCAGTTTTTGGAGCTCCTGAAATTACTGGGGTAATCACATTCCTAGGTATTAAATTACCTTTCAACAGACCGGCCCTCCTGCACTCTACGTAGATTCTCAAGCTATAAAAAAGCAACACATCTAAGTCTGATCACAAAAAAATTATACAAATACAGTTTTATTGTCTACCTTTCACCCAGAAGAAGATACCCAGGGAAGCGAAGCGAGCTACCAAATAACCATACCTGCTAAGTGGTATGGTTCCGTATTATACAAAAGAATAGAGTAAAAGTATAAGATATATTCTTACCTATGTCCCGATAGCTTCTAGGCAGGGCTTTGACTACAGCAAGGCTCACCAATACAATAACATAAATTACTGTTCTCCAATTCATACTGTCAGATTTCGGCAGGGGCCTGCCGTGAGCTTGGTTCATCTGTGAAAGGCAGAAAGAATTAGGGGAAAGAGAAAAAAAAATTTTATACTCTCCCAAACAATGTCTGGTTAATCAAAACCCTTTTACCGTCATATATAACGTTAGCCCTTTGCGAATATTCCCACAATAATTAGACACGCCATTGTTTGCTCAGTGTGATGAACCGACCAGTTTGTTGCAAAGAAAGGACCTTGGAGATTCTGGTTTTTTTCCCCTGAAATTTAGACGAATAGACATTTTTAAATTATCACACTTCAAACAAGAAGGTTAAACACTCCTCAAGCTTTTTATCGTACTGATCTCATCTACTTACACGCTTGTTCAAAGGTGAGTGCTGGGCAGAAGATGCCTTCGTAACACATTGCTGACTAAAAAATGCCACGTTCAGCTGTTAACTTGGTATTTTTGCACCCCTCCTTGCTCCCAGCTCCCAAGGTGTCACGGCGAAAAGGCTGAACTAAGTACCCCCTACAATATTTTTGCAGCATTAACAATTACCGCCAAAGTATCCCTCAAATCTTAAAACAACAGCAACCCCCAAACTGTAGAATGACGGGGAAAATTCCAGGTAATAATTTCGCTGACATTAAAAAAAGGTATGCTGTAAGCATGAGCATGACAAAAATGTCGAATTTTTGGAGATAGCCTGGCTTTAGAGAGGCACAGATATCTGTAACGGAGAGGTAGGTGGGAAGGACACACGTATTTGGTCTGAAGGAACAGGCAAAGCCAGACTTTTTATTTCTTTGGAGACAAAACCCCACAATACTCCTTGTCCCGTGCTGCAGGAAGGCAATGAGGGTTGTTGGTTATCACATCAGATGGTATCAAAAGGGAAAAAGATTCTGAGTGAGAAGATGGGAACACGGTCATCAGAGCAGGAGGCCTGAAATCTAAGGTGGAACCACATCTGTTGAGGAAAACACAAATAAGCTGTGTCACACTGTTGACTAAAATACCCGATAGGCAATAGCGAAATCTACTGGGAAGAAAGAGGTCTGGAGGTTACGGACTGCGTTTCTACATATATGATCCTCATTAAGTCCATAGAAGCAGATCAGAGAAAGTTTTTCTGTTTCCAAAAGGCCGATTCCCTCCTGCTCTTGGGAGCCAGCGCTATCCCCCGCCTGGGAGTTGCAGATTCCTCCCTCCAGCACCCGGGACTCAGCAGCATCCCGTCGTGAGGCTGCCAGAGCAGAGTCCCCGCGGGGACAATTTGGGGACCGTCCAGGGTGTTCCCGATTCTATTTCACCTGAAGGAGCAGGGAGAGATGAAGACTGATCCTCTCCTTTCCAGAGTAACACCCGAACACGACCTTGTTACTACAAGCTATAAAAATGAAGGGGGTGGGGTGTATTACTTGAGGTGGAGCTGCAGAAACCGCTGAGACGCTGATGTCAGAGGCTTTGTATAGGAAATTATTCTTCGGCTAGAAAGAGGGTGTGTCAGAGATTAGAGAGGTGTAATGTGTTGTCTGAAGTATTTCTGGAAGCTGCGCTTGGATGCTGCATTTAAAATCCCTTAAATTCCGTTTTTCCACTGCCCTTTTGCACGCTTAGCAGGACAGTTAACTACTTTTCACTTTTCTTTGAAAATACTTGCCACTGTTCAGATGGCAACCTGCTTATTTACAATGAACACTCTCTAATTTGCAGGAGGAAAATGTATGTATAGTATTTAACTGAAAAAAATAGTGTGGCAAACACTAGGAATGAGAAATGAAGAGCTTATGTCCTTATTACAAGTTCCCGTTGTCCTTCAAAGTATGCAAACCACGTTGACCTGTTCAGTTTTACACCTACTGAGAACCCAGCTGTTTCCAGAACTTCTTAGAAAGGTGTCTTGCAAGGTCAAGATAGGGCTAAGAGCAGCTGATGCTCCTCAGGGTGGGGAATTGTGAATTCCCACCAGCTGGGGATGGTTGGTGGGGGATGCTGCATACCCCCTTGAAATGCCGGGGTGGTTGGCTGCTGCCTTTTGCTGTGTCTGCTCTGTAGCAGGGAGGTGAGTTAGTTTTATATTAGATATTTATGTTTTTGATGATATTCCCCAATTTTAGGGCAAGGTCTCTGTCTCAGGCTGGTGTGTGTTCCCAACGGGCTTCAGTCATTGATTATCGTTGTTGAACTAGGCCAATAATGTGCATTTGTGGGTGCCCAGGGCTTAGCTAGTTTGTTTCCGCTCTTACTAATGAGCGCAGAATTTGTGTATTCTGCTTTTACTTAGGTCGGCTTCTTCATGATTGTATCAATACTTGAATCCCTTCTCTTGAAACAGAAGTTGGAAACTTGATAATGAGGTAAGCTGCAAGTTACTAATGCTTCTGTACCTTTTGTTGCCCCATCTCCCCAGAAACCTGCACAGTAAGATGAGTGTGTCTTGAACCTAGAGGTTATTGAACCGTCATTATTCAGACTATTAATCTGCACAGGCAAGAAAAATGAGATTTAGATTATTTGCTGGTGAGATGGGCTGTTGTAACCAGGCCCGTTCATATTCCAGGATTTTGTATCACTCCTGAGGTCTCCCTCTTTAGACTTACTGCTCTGTTGAGCAGCAGTGTGACTGTTTTGCTGCTCGTGAAAGCTTTATCCATGTCTAATTTAGCTTTGCCTTTGTAGGACTGAGCCTGCCACTGCCTGTATTCATAAGGAAGTCTCATAAGTCCTGTCTTACTTTGGCTTTTCAAGGAAGGGGAAGAATATCATAAAAGATGATCATTAGATAATGAGGTGTTGCTGACGCAGTTCTTCACTGCATTCCTGTAAATAGCTGTGTCAAAAGATGAAAGTAAATAAATACTTAAATGCACACACATGCGGTGTTTATAGGTATACATAAGCATATATAAAAATTCTAGTTCTTTTAACTTGTTACTCTGACAAGATTGTAAAGCCGAGGTGGTCACAGATTGCCCTTGAAAAATCTCATTCTTAGGGAGTTTCATTCTATGATGTTAAAAATTAAGAATCCAGCTGGTGTGGAGGTTGGTTTAGGCGTATGGCAACAGCCTGTGTTGTCTATAAGGCCTCTACCCCTGACTACAAATACTGTGATTGGTTTGTCTGTAATGACTCCAGCTTCAATATACCCTGGCTGAACAAGAAATACACCCGATGAGTAAGGCGCAGCTGGTTGATCCGCGAAGCGTGTTTGCTCACAGAGGTAGCAGAGTCACCGTGAGGCTGGTAGGGGGCAGCGGTTCTGCCCCAGCAGTAGAACTGTCTGCGTTTTTGGAAATGAGAAATAATTCTCTGCTATGAAGAACAAGAGTAAACGTGTTGTTTTAAATGCTAAAAATAAAAAAAGGAAGTCTGGTTCATTTTTGCAGGTTTGCGTTGTGTAATTTTCATTGCAAACCCTGACTCCTTTCCTCCTTGTCTTCCAGTAATTGCTTTGTGGCTGAATATACAGAATTGTCCACTGAAAACCAAAACCTTTTCAGTTTTTCCAGTTACCTGCAGATTCCCTAAGAAAACTCGTGACTCCTTTCCTCCTCGTCTTCCAGTAATTGCTTTGTGGTTGAATATACAGAATTGTCCACTGAAAGCCAAAACCTTTTCAGCTTTTCCACTGTTACCTGCAGATTCCCTAAGAAAACTCAATCTCATAGAATGTATTTGAGTCTTTTCTGGAAATATTTAGCTCAAAAATTAACTCAGTCCTCTGTACTCTTGTACAGGTGTGGGAACGGCATTCCAGGAGCTCTGAGCTGGGATTATGCTCAGCTCCTCTTGCTAAAACAGTCTGAATTTATCATGTGTGCTATGGCTGTATGGACCAGACCCAGCCTCATTTGCCTGAGAGCCTTTGGCTGGAGTGGTACAACTTGAGGCTTTTGGAAGCTGAGCAGAGTTTTCTGTGTGGCTTTTAGGGTCTGCTTTGCAGCTTTCTGAAAAGGGCATAGTGTTTTCTCTTGTGATGCCTTGTGAGACTACCACAATTGGCACTCATTGATGAATCCCTGCCTTAAAAAGTAAGGCGTGGCACGGGACATGTTCTGTAAAACTTATTACCTGTATAATGAGCAAATCTTTTCCAGTGTATGTAGCCTGGAGGCAATAGAGGGAGGAAATTCAAGTTGTTCACTTGATTGATGCAAATGATTTAACAGATTATTTGGCAGTGCTGGGAAGTCTGATGGTAAGAACTATTCTTTTCAGCCCTGAAAACGACTAGTTACATCAAAATCATTTATGAACTTCTGTTTGACCTGGACGTTATTTCCTGACTGGGTATGTTTTGCCAAAAGTGCATGTCTTCACCTGTTTTCCAACTATATATGTAATCTGGACCTTGTTATTTTTAAAAGTCTTTATAAATTCATGGACTATCAGTACAAGTGTAGCTTGATTCATAAAAAGCAGGCAATTTTGGACATGGTATTAAAGTTTTCTCTTGCTCCCCAGTTAAGTCTGTTTTCTGTTCTGTGTTGAAAAGACATATGCGGTGTAACACAAAGCATAATTTGTCTAGCTAAAAGGATCACGTTCAAATTCTTGGAACTTGAGGGAATGAAAAGACTCGTGTCTGATGTCTGTCTGTCTTCTTTTTTTCTTTTGTTCACTTTTAGGTACTTTGCGTAGCCCCTTAGTTTGATATGAATTGACAGTTTTTCCTTGGTTCCTTGTCTTCGGGAGTGTTCACCCCGTGGGTGTATAAGCATGTCGGCGCAGGAGACGTGATAACCTCTAGGAGTACTGCTGGGAGCATGCCCAGGCCACGCACGCCTACGCGCTGCCGTAAGTTGGCAACAAATTCCTCTGTCCTTTGGTTCCTCTGAGTCACTTGGCTGGGAATGAAACAACTTTCCTCACCGCTTTTCTGGCAGCGCTTCTCTCTCTCCCATTTGTCTCTGGGCTTGCGAGGATGCGTTCGCTGCGTGTGTTGTGTCAGAGTGGTGTGTGGGTGGAAAGTGTGCGGGGTGCTCTGCGTGGTCCTGGTGTTGGAAATAACCAGACAGGTGTCCCAGGAGGACTTGTCCGTGTGGGTGTTGGTGGTGTAGGTCTCGGCATGCCACAAGGGAGAAAGCTTTGGTCGGTTTTCCTTTTTGCAGTCTGGATCTGTTAAACAAAACGCCCTTTTGAGAGGCATAAACTGGCATACAACAGAGTGGCAATCGTAGATCACTCCCAAGAGGGGCCTCCAAGGAAGTCCGGTGTTAACAAATGGGGCTGTCCCCATTTGCCCTGGAGCTCCGGCTGTGCGACCTAGCCCACGCAGGGGTTGCCAGTCGTGCTGTCGGTCCTTCGGTGTCATTGCATCTAGGGTCAAGTGCTAGAAATGTTGCCTTGTCTGCAACTTCTTTGATTCTGGTAAATTTAATGGAGTACTACAAAGAGAAACAAGAAGGAACGCCACCTTTGACCAAACAGAAAGATAAAATCTTCATGTACAGGATATATTAATTTGGTTCAGACTCAGTAGCCCTCTTTGCAAGGTAAATTTGCATAAAGCTCACAACCTTTCTTGCTTTGTGACTCTTCTCCTTCGTGCCTCTTCCCTTTCCCTTAACTTTTGCCCCAATCTTAATGGGATGCTGGAAGCGGGATGGCTGTTCTCCAGGGCGTCCGCTGGCTGTGTAATACCGTGTGGGTAGCAGGGTGACAGAGCCATCTAGTTTTCTAGAAGAGGTTCAGTCGGTGACTGATATGACATGAAAGGTCACCTAATTGCCCTAGAAGATATGATTGTCACTTATGCACCATTAAGGACTGCTGTGTGGCCTCGTCTTGTGGGAATTCCTCCTGAGCTTCTAAGAAAAGATCCAGGTTTCATCCATATTTGAGGCTGTTGTCCCAGCTTCAGTCGTATGAAGCGGTGCCTTTCTCCCAGCCATGCGTGAGAGGAAAAAGAAACCATCCCACCGCTGCTGCCTGCTGAAGGGGAGATCTGTGGCACTGTTCGCACCTCCTGCAGGCAGCCAGCCTTTTACTTCAGTCTTTCCAAGTGTAAGAAGTCAAGCTTCCACCTGAAGTGCAATGTGGTCACCCCCAGGATATGAATTGTACCCTGTGAGTTTTACTATTCTGATTTCCACCCCGCTGTACACTTCCACTTAATTTCAGAACCATGTCAAAAGCAAAACATGCTTCTCCTTCTTCCACTTCCACTTAATTTCAGAAGCATGTCAAAAGCAAAACATGCTTCTCCTCTAGAGTCAAAAAAACCCCAACGTTCTAGTAACTCCAGGAGCTATTGCTCGCCTCAGAGGCCATCTCCTTTATAGCAAACACTTTTGACAGTAAAAAAAAAAAAAAAAAAACCAACAAAAAAACAAAAGGAGAGAAAACAGATACCTACCCACGACTTGGACGAATGATACCTCTGTGCTGGAGTTGAAGTCCCAGTCTAGTTCAAGGGGTGGTGTTCGTGCCAGTATGGCTTCGTGAAGAGAACCGAGTGTCTGGTTTTGTCCTGTAGGATGATTTCTTTCACACCATAATGAACTTGCTTCGTTGGATATAACCTTGCTCTGCCTTAGGTGAGGGTCACTTGCAGGAGAGGCTCTTCCCCTTCCTGTGTTCAGCGCAATGAATGTCCTTCTGGAGAGTCTGGACTGAAGTAGTTACCATTTCCTAAGAGGGAGGAAAAAAGTACTCTTTGATCCTCGCTATTGGGATCCTGCAGCTCAGTATTTAGTGTGAAAGCTTTAAAGGAGTGGTGCTTTTTAGAGGCTGCTGCATACGTATTTGTTACCAACACACTATGCCCTTCATTGGGAAGCAAAGCTGGTATGTGAGCTAACTGTGAGAGCGTAAGATGAACCTACAACATATGGAATGGAAGAGGTAAGAAATTCCTCAAGTTAAAATCCTTTGCCCCCAGCCACCCTCCCCTTAACTTCCTAAGCAAAACACTCCTACGTTTATCTGTGTTCCAAATCCCACCGTGGGTTGATTGCGAGTGCAGTGGGCACAACAAAGTACAAAGGGTGACATTTACAACTTGTCCTTGTCTTTATCTGGCACCTGTAGGCGTGATGGTCTAGCCAAGTGAAACACCATGGCTGAATGTCAAAACAAGTTATCTTAACACACCACCATCGCTGTTATCTTAACACAACACAAACTTGGGTTGCAGTGACCTGCTTACACAGCGCTTTTGAGTAAGGCAGGGAACGCCACTAGAACTGCCCACAGGTAAGAAAACAAAATGCATGTGCTTTTGAGATGTCCCAATTAATTCCTTGCAGCTGCTTTGTGAAAGGTGCTGATCCCGGGAGAGTGTGTATTGCACAGCTGAGGTGGGATGTAGTGGAGTTTGAGCTTCTGGAGTACAAATTCTCCCTTTGCTCTTGGAGTGAAGTGTCTGGCGTTGCCTTGTGCAGGCTTTTTCTTCTGACAGATTTATCTGACAGACAGGAGTCATATAAATGGCCACTCCAGCCGGCTGACTTAATGATCTAAGTGCCTTCACTGATGTTTGCTGTGTCAGGTTTTGTTGTCAAGTGGTTTGTAAAGATATGACATACCTTTTCCAAGTATGGCACAGCATCTGTTTGCTTGCAGTATTTGTCTGTCTTGGCTGTGAAATCTGCAATTGTTTTCTTTATTTTTCCATCTGCCATCTGGGGGCCGCGTTTAATGAGATGAGGAAGCAATCTGAAGAAGTCAAATGCAGAGTTAGCTCTAAGTACTGAAGCTTGACACGTGGATTTGTGATATCATCTAAAGTCTGTAACTGTACAGTATGTCCGGAAGGGCATATGTGGTGGCTGCCCCCTGTGGCTCTATTTCTATCTCATTTTATGTCTACTTCTCCCACAACTGTATTCTCCCTTTCTCTTCCTTCACATTTGAAGGAGCACATGTTGATATTTTCAGTTAAGCCCATCAATAAGACACGTATCTGCTAGGTTACAGGCTTCAGTGTAGTCAACTGAGGGAGCTACATTGATATGAAACTCTATGTGCTATTGGCTAAACAGATTTTCTCACTTAAATGCCACTTCCCAAAGTCAGTAGTGTTTGGAAGCACTGGGAACTCTAAGGCCTACTGCTCTCTAGGTATGTGATCCAAGATGCAAAAGATTTTAAAACAAAAACACAAAAAAAACCCACCTTGATTTGTGCTTGCATGCTCTTTTTGTTTGGAAAAAGAGGAGACAGGTAAATGTCTTAATTTCCCACAGAAAACAAAATTATTTCCAGTTTGTGGGCAGTCTCTCTGAGTCATCCTGGTAATTTTGCTGACAATATACTCCATCACTCCATCACTGACAAGAAGTGCAACTGAAGTACAATTCTGTCACATGTGACGTATCTGTTGTTGTCGGTGAGAAACTTGTGATGTAATTATCTGGCTTCCGATGGAAGTGACGAAAGCTTTAGGTATAATATGATTCTTACATATAGTAAGTCTGCCCAAATGTAGAAAAAGCGTCTCAGTATTTTAAGGAATTACCTGATGGTATCTCCACGAAAGAAGGATCTGGATTCAAAAGCTGATTAAAATTAGTTGCTGTACTTGATATTTCCATAACATTGATTTCTAATTAAGAGTATGTGCTATTCCCTTCATTTAGAGCAGCAGACACAGCTTCACCATCAGTTCTGTTCTACATTAAAAATCAAAAGGACTTTACTCAGAAAGCAGCATCAGAACTGTGGATGCGCTTGTGGGAAATCTTCTGCGTAAGAATGGTATGTGCGTTGCAGATTATTCCCTGTCTCTGTTCTCCACCATATTTTCAAGTTTTGGGACACCCTGTCCATGATGCTTTCTTAAACGCTGTTGGGACACTTCATCTGTTGTGAAACCTGACTCTCCAAATTTGTACAGTCTCACAGTAGTAGTACTCATGAATTCTGCCTGAGTCCTTAATTCCTTTCCCTATGTGAACAAGCTACAATAATGAGTATGTTATCTATTAAAATGAGCATGTTTCACAAATGAAGAGAGACAACCCCCCTGAAAAATCTATTTCTTAGGCAAGTCTGACATTATTGGGATCTAGAGGGGTTTGATTACTATTATTTTTTATCATTGCAGCAAGAGAAAAAATGCATGTAAGGTTGAAAAAAAAAAAATCAACAAACAGAAGTGCTTAACAAAACAAAAACAGAGGTTTGGGGGGGATGGAGAATACTATAATAGCTTTAGATTCAGGCAAATGTTGGGACTAGGCTGTTTACAGCACTTTTATACTGCGCACTCATAGTTGATAACCAGAACATGTGTAGGAGCATCAAGAAATGGAGACCTGCCTGCAACCATCGGTATGTAACTGTAATGAAAAGAAAATTTAAAAGCTGTTGTAATGCTACTCAAAGCTTCTAAGCAGCTATATTTTAATAAGAAAATAAACGACATGTATTTTTACCTCTGCTAATGGCCCAAATGACTCATGAAAGTCACCATATGCCTCCTTGTGTTTTCAGACCCGAATGGTTATCCGTATTCCATATTTGAAAAGATATACATGTACATAAAATTATGATGATAGCCAAAGATTTCAAGAGTTTTACAGTGGAGAAATTCTGACTCCCGTACTTATTGTTTTTTTCTCCTCTTTGTGCTTACTTAAATTCCGGGCTCTTTGAGAGTTGGTATTTTTCCTGGGAAAATAGAGAAGAAAGGAAGGCAGAGAAATTGAGAATCAAACCCAGGAAAATACGGGTGTTATTACTAGAATATTGCAATCTGAAAATACAGAATAAGTTTTTCAAGAAAAGTATTTTTCTTTTAATATTTTTTTAATGAGAAATTATCTGATGAGACAGCGGTGGGTGAAAGACTCCAGTATTTGAAGTGCGTATGCAGCTTCTTCTAAGATTGTACCAATGTTTCTTCAAATTGTTCTATTCTACCTGACATGTGGAGCTATGCTTTTTGTAACAGCGCTTCTGGACACACTGATAAAATGCGACCGTGGCCTTGATAGAGAAGTACTGTGTGAAACAGAGGTACGTTTCAGACTTTCAGGGACTCTAACTTCTGCGTTCTAAGACTTTGGCAACTCTCTGTAGGGATGGGGCTGGGAGCACAGCTGGCTGCAAGAAGTGAAGTGAAGTCATTGGCACTAAAATTCCCAATGCACTTCCACGCTTTGACAGCTAATTGTGTGCATATTCTTGAGGAAACTTGCAGCAGTGTGAATTGCTCATTCACGTGGTAGCAGGTGGACCCAAAAATCTGTGTCCTTCCAGGTTCATTCCCCTCTCTAGCAAGTTATTTTTGGTTGTTTTCCTATCCAGTACTTCATGTTGACTATAAATACTCCTCCTTGTGTGCTTTTTGTTGCTTGAATCCCAGAAGTTTCTAGGTGCTTTATGCTCTTAATTGTTAATCATACTGATGATAAAACATTTTGCTGCCTCGCCGCAGTTGGTGATATGTTTTTGAGGGCTCTTTTCGCCTTCCCTTCATGAATAAGATGTACTGGTTAGCATTAATATTGCCAGGAAAGGCAAGGCGTCCTGCCCAAGCTGTGCTCCCTGTAGTGGAGGGCTACGTGCCAAGGCCCTACCGTGCATGTCGCCGAGGGTTGTGCTGCGAGGATGTGCGAGCTGGCACCTCTTCCCGATTCAAGCAAGCGTTAGGTATTTCTGTCTGAGGTGGGGATTTTCTATGCTGTGGAAAAGCAGAAGCATCTGTCAAAGGGGAAAAAAACATTACTGACATGAGAAATGTTAACTTGATGTTTCATTCGGACTGCTTTGAAACTTCTTCCCTGTAGATTTCTGAACTGCTGGACAAAGTCACATTTAGGCTCTGGGGAACAAAGGAAGGATCGGTGAGGCTTTGTGCTGCAGTCTCTGTGGGGAAATGTGCTCCTTTTGGGGAATAAATTAAGGCACTCAGATACAGTTTACAAAAATGCCAGTGTTTAACCAAGGTTTGATGGGAGTGGTACCATTACCTTCAGCTGGTATAGACCAAACTGGTCCTAAGCATGTCACAAAAAGTCACCCTTTGAGTGCCTGGTCCTGAGGCAGGCGTGTTTGCTACCTCAATGTCCTTAAAGGCTTTTCCAAGTCCTCACAGCTCTGTGGTGACAGACTGTCTGTGCATTTGTCTGAAAAAGCCCAAGCCCACCCTCAAAATATTTATAACAGAGTTACAGGAAATAACTGGTGCAGGTTAGCAAGGACTACATAGAATTTTTGGGTTTGGTTGGTTTTGTTCCTGTTGTTTCCCCACCACCACCACCCATGGTGTTTTAGCCAATGAGGGTCAAATAAACTCAGGTATCCACAGTTTATTTGGAAAACATCGTTAGGCTTTTCATTTTGGAGATCTTGAAAATAAAGAACTGTTAGATTGGGTTCTGGTTACATGTGATACAAATCCCCACCGTAAGGGTTCTGTAAAAGATAGGTTCAGTTGGAAGTTTTCAATTTGTCCCACTTGAAACGAACATGTTCAAAAAAGGCAGGTATTTGCAGAGAGTGATGCGTATCTATGTCTAAATCAGAAGCCCTTTATCTAGCATTCACTGAAATGTTTTCAATATGTAGAAAGCAATTACTATAACTTTTAAGTTAATGAGGATTCCTATATGCTGAAAAATGACATGTAAAATGATGGTATTTGGGGGTTTTGTTGATGTCTCTCAACTTTTTTTTTTTTTACTTAAACGTTTTTATCTTGAAGTAGTCAATGTTTCATTGAAAATAAAGATTATTACCTGTCACGGACATTTTCTTTTTTCTTTTTTTCTTTTTTTTTAAAGGAAAATCAGAATCATTGAAGAGGTACAGATTCTTCCTGTTGGGGCAGGGGGAACCCAACAAACCAATCGCCAAAACCCAAACAAAACCCCCAAAACTTCAATGTTTAAGTCATCATAGGTAGCATACTATTTATTCCACTTGGCTGAAAATAGGGCTGTTTCACTTCATGTTCGTTATGAAGTACTGCAATATTAACTCCAACCAGTTATTGCCACAGCTGCAAAGCTTCTAAGGACATCATCAGAAGGAAAGCAATTCAACTAGAATGTTCTTACCTGCATCTCAAGCATATCTTTTCGATTTCTGCATGTAGCAAAACTGGAGAAAATAAAGGAAATAAACACTATCTGCTTCCTTATTGTAGATGATGGGCAGGTGTAGACCATGCAGGGCAGCGAGGAACCAAAGAAGATAAAAGGCAATGAATTCATTTGTATGCTATTATCAACCACTGTTTGTAAACAATTAACCACGCAAATGTAAATTGCTGTAAATTTCCATTAAGCCTGAACCCACCCTCGCTAAAAGGGGGAGTGATGGAATATTAGGTTTGTGATTTAGAGGGGGCAGTTTTTAAAAGACCTTATAAATTCAGCTTTTTGCTTTGTCCAGCTACATAAGAAACTGTGCAAATTCACAACTGGGTTACAAGACTTCCAGTAAAATGTAACTTGGTTCAAGCTTAGATTTGTGCTCATCTCTGCTTCTCCTCTTTCTGGGGGGTCAGTGGTGAAGACAGTATGTGTTGAACACTGTTCTGTACTAGCAATTCATGTCTGTGGTGGAGGTGATAATTGGGGTCGCAGTCCACTTAGGACTGCAAATCATTAGACAGTTAATTTGGAATTTCAGTTGTTTTACATGAGCTGTGGTCCAGTTTCCTTAGCCTGTT